CTGAGCATCGTCGATGCACCAGGCTTTGTGTTAGGTGCTTTACACGGGTGATCTCCATTCATTCTCACAGAAGGACTGTGAGGGAGACTGTGTCATTAGCATTTTACAAATGAAGCCGCTGAACCTTAACGCTCAGAGTCAGTAGGGCAAAGAGTCCCAGGGCAGAATGAAACCTAATGAAAGCTCTCTCTCCAGGGCACTGTTTGAGGAGTGGGGTGTGTGAGTTTGCCCTCTGCCACAACAATCTTTCTCATTAACTGGCCTGAAATGTTTTACACACAATAAAGGAAGATTTCTCTCTATAAGGCCTTTCTGAACTTCCAGCGCAGACACATGTGACTGAGACTGGGTCTTCTGCAAGTGTGGAAATGTGTTTTAACAGCCCGTCAGCAAAACCCAACGTCTGCATGCATCATGTTTGATGGGAAAAGTGTCAGACCTTAGTCAGGGGTGGGGCAGGGAAGCTGGAAGGGCAGGGCTGAGAGGGTGGCTAGACTGGGAGTGAGGCTGGCAGGACCGGAATCCGGGAGAGAGGCAGAAACCAAGTGTAGGGGTGTCAGTGAAGGTGGGAGCAGGTGAGAATGGTGTTGAAAGACAGTCATTTTCAGGGGCTGGGTGCCATGGCTCACACCTGTAATCCCAGCATTTTTGGAGACCAAGGTGGGTAGATCACTTTAGGCCAGGAGTTCAAAACCAGCCTGGCCAACATGGTGAAACCCCATCTTCACTAAAAATTTAAAAATTAGCCAGACATGGTGATGCACGTCTGTAACTCCAGCTACTAGGGAGGCTGAGAATCACTTGAACCTAGGAGGCAGAGATTACAGTGAGCTGAGATTGTGCCACTATGCTCCAGCCTGGGTGACAGAGCAAGACTCTGTCTCAAAAAAAAAAGAAAAGAGCCTGTAATCCCAGCACTCTGGGAGGCCAAGGTGGGTGGATCATGAGATCAAGAGATCGAGACTACCCTGGCCAACATGGCAAAACCTCATCTCTTCTAAAAATATAAAAAATTAGTTGAGCATGGTGATGCATGCCTGTAATCCCAGCTACTCAGGAGGCTGAGGCAGGAGAATCACTTGAACCTGGGAGGCAGAGGTTGCAGTGAGCCCAGATCACACCACTGCACTCCAGCCTGGGTGACAGAGCAAGACTCTGTCTCAAGAAGAAAAGAAAAAGAAAGTCATTACAGGGGAGGATCAGGAACCTGGCTGGGGAGATAGGGTGGGGAGAAAGAGGCATTCATTCATTTATTCATTCAACTTTCATTGACTCAGCAGAGAGACTGAGCAATAAGGGGCCAGTTATCTCAGCTATAATAACTAACATTTAAATATGAACAAAAGCTCTCAGGGTTTCAACTTCCTGATTGTTCCCTATCCCATATCCCAACTGTATTAACTGATCTCTGTACAGTTGCAAATGATAAAAATACACATGAAGTATTTTGGACAAAAGGAGGTTGTATTGGTTCCTATAACTGAACTGTGGGAAGAGCTGGAGTGTAGCCAGATCTCAGGGGCAACTGGCACTGGCCAGACTCTTCTTTCCATCTCTCATCTCTCATCCATCCTTCTGAATGTTCATTTCAGCCTCTCTCATTGGTCTCTTTCATAATGAATAGAAACATGGCAGCCCACACTCAGTGTCTTAGAGAGAAACTGAAGTTCCCACACAGAGATGAACTCTGATTGGCCAGTTTGAGTCAGGTGCTGATCTTTAAGCCCATAGCAAGGTCATAGGAGACAAGATGGCAGCTCCCATTTGAACTTCTTGTTGAGAAATAAGGTAAGGGTCATTCCTCGGGGAAAAAAAGTAAGAGGTGCTAAGTTGTCAAAACAGTAGATGCTCACTATAGTCTAGCCTTTGGTGCTCAGTATACATGCCTGCTCTTCGCCCCCAAAGCAGAATTCCAAACCAGTCCCCACCTGACACCATCTCAAGCACCACTGTGACCTCACTCACCCTCACCCCAGCAAGGGACCTGCAGCTGTGGCACCCAGCACTGTCTAATGACATCCATCAACTCTGGACATGAATGCCTGTGATCCTGAGAACAATTACCTAAATGACTAATCACTCCTAACATGCCAATGTAAATAATGAAGGGACAGAGAAATATGTGAGGAAAAATATATAAGAAGACAATGACCAAATAATTTCCAAATTTGATAAACACTGAACAAAATACTGCATAATCACGATGAACACTTGGACTTAGAAAAGGAAGGGTAGGCTGGGCACCATGGCTCACATCTATCATCCCAGCACCTTGAGAGGCCAAGGCAGGAGGATCACTTGAGCCCAAGAGTTTGAGACTGGCCTGGGTAATATGGCGAAACCCCATCTCTGCAAAAAATACAAAACAATTAGCCGGGTGTGGTGGTATGTGCCTGTGGTCCCTACTACTCGGGAGGTTAGGATGAGAGCCCAGGAGTTTGAGGTTACAGTGAGGTATGATCATGCCACTGTACACCAGCCTGGGCAACAGTGAGATGCTGTCAAAAAGAAAGGAAAGAGGGGAGGGGAGGGGAGGGGGGGAGGAGAGGGGAGGGGAGGGGAGGGGAGGGGAGGGGAGGGAGGGAAGGGTTGGGTTGATGAAATAAATAAGAATACAGTGACTCAAACAATATAGTGGCTTATTTCTCTAACCTAACAGCCCAGAGGTGCACAGCATAGATGATGCATTTCTCTGTCCTGCAAGGTTGTCCTGGAGACCAGATTCCTTCTGTCTAGGTGTCCCACCATCCCAAGTTGTGTCCTCATCTGCATGTTCAGACTGACACACATCATCATCACACCCACATCATGGGGTTTTATAGGCCAGACTTGTGGCTTCTTTGGCAATCCAATGCTATGAAAAACTTAGAAACATCCTGATCGATTTGCTTCCAATCATTTCCATACAGAAGTGCCACACCCAAAGAGCCCTTCTGGACACAGTCCTCAAGCCTGCCAACTCTCTCATTTTCCTAACCGGCTTCCATGCCTGGCCCATCCCTGCTGCCCCATCTTAATGCTGGCTATTGTGGTGCCTGAAACAACAGGCTGGGTTGGCAGATGGCATATCACTTCTTTGCCACAGGGCTGATTCCCACTGCCAGGGAGAGAAATTTTAGTGGTGGTACCATGGCCTGCCTTCCCGGTTATCGCAGATGGAGCTTTACCGAATAACAGACTAGTAGAAGTTGCTGTCTGGCCATCTTGACTCGTCTGTGTGTTCCCCTCCGCGTTGCTCAATCGCTAAGCCAATGTCACAGAGTTTAGATTTTTTTTTGTTCAAGTTGCATCTCACTTTCACACAAATGTCTGTATTAGGTATGGGTTACGCTGCTGTAACAAACAGATTCCAAGATGCAGTGACACAAACATGATGGAATTCTGTTTTCCTCTCACACAACAATTCAGAGTTGGCAGTGGAACCCAGGCAGACAGGCAACTCTGCTCCATGAGTTGACCAGGTTTCCAAATTCCTTCTCTCTCCTTGCTGCTCCTCCATTCCCATGGCCACACAGTAAAGGTGTCCCACCACATCACCTCCACCTTCCAGCCTGTGGAAGGGGAAGAAAACAGAAGTAACAGGCAAGCAACCTCCTTACCAAAAGTAAGACCCAGGAATTTCCCGCATCACTTTGGGCCACATCCCATTGGCCAGAACTACTTCACGTGGCCATGCTGTGCTGCAAGGGAGTCTGGGAATTACAGTCTCTAGCTGAGTGGCCATGCTGGAATGGGGGACACTTGTATTACTTAAAGGAAGATTTAGGAAATGAATACTGGGGAATAATTCACATTTCTGCCTCAGGGAGAAAGGCAATTTACAAACAGTGATACAGACCATATACCACATCTTGCCGGTCAGGGGAAAGCTCAGCTCTGGTGGTGATTCATTGGTGGACTCACTTCCCTGAAGATGAACTCTCTCTTAGCCAATCTGGTTATGTCAACATCTTGTCTCCTGGAAGCAGCCCTGGCTCATTGTCCCCCAGGAACAACCCTGAGAGAGCCACTAGGAGAGACTCCCTTACTGAGAGCTGGGCCATCTTAGGAGCCCACATTCCATTGGAGGCCTGAAGATTGCCTTAAATTTTGTGCAATCTCGGACAACTTGCACAAAGCTCGGGTTTTTTTTTGTTGTTGGTTGCTTGATTTCGTTGTTAGTTGGTTTGCGCAGTTTGTCTTGCAACACAACTGACACAGAACCCTGGCTGAACTCTGACAGCCAGTACCTAGCCCCCAAAATTTGGTCCAGGCTCACACTGGGAATCAGGATCTGTCTTAGTCCGTTGAGGCTGCTATAACAGAATACGGTAGACTGGGTAGCTTATAAACAACAGAAATGTATTGCTCACAGTTCTGGAGACCGGAAAGCCCAAGGTCAGGGCACTGACAGATGCAGCGAGGGCCTGCTTTCTCACAGACGGTGACTCCTTGCTATGTCCTCATGAGGCAGAAGGGGCAAGGCAGTTCTCTGGTTGTATGAGGGCGTGACTCCCACTCCTAGGCTTAGTCCCCTTCATTCTGTTCTCAGTATCTAATCATGCTTCCAAAGACCCCACTTCCTAATACCACCACCTTGGGGGCCAGGATTTCAATGTATGAATTTGATGGGAACACATTCACACCATGGGGCCCTTAGATCTCTTAGAGGCAGGTGTGGAGGCTCTACTTTGCTTTGGTAAGCCTCAGCATCTCTCCTGGCCTTGACCTCTGCAGGGGTGAGGGGGCTTCCTAATGTGTCTGTTGTGCTGCCCTGCTCCCAGGCTGTGCTTCATCCAGGAGGCACTGGGTAAATTAAGACAGTGCGAGGTTCTTAGGAAGGGCCACTACCACGGGCCAAATGGTCTACCAATGCCCCAGGTCAATTGTCCTTTCCTTCTCCCCACTCCATTTGGAGTAACCAGTTCCTTCCTGCTCTGGAATGGAGCAAGCCTCTTGCTCAACACACGTGCAGGAAGCGGCTCTTCGGGACATACCTCTGGACTCTCCTTTCTTCTCAGGGTGCAACATAGAAAATGCCTGCTACCCCCTAGGCATCTGTGCTGAACGGACCGCTATCCAGAAGGCCATCTCAGAAGGGTACAAGGATTTCAGGGCAATTGCTATCGCCAGGTGAGTGGGAAAGCCAGATTGCAACAATATTCATTCATCTCTTCAGCCAACATCCCGCTTACACATATTATTCATTCATTCCTTTATCTGACATGTTTATTGTAGACTTCCTATGTGCCAGGCACTGTATAAGGCCTTGGGCTGAGTGCTGAGGATCAGGAGATAAATAAGGATATGGACTCTGCCCTCAGAGAGCCTGCAGGATAGGTGAATAAGCAAGGCAACTCTCATCCAAGGGCCGGTATGCCCGGTTCCAGCAACAGAAAATCATACAGATTCCTCTCCTAAAAGATATAACAGAAAGGCAGCATTAGGAGGCAGCACACATAAAGCAGGAGGCACCTAAAAATCACCTGCTATAGACTCCCTTGTCACCAACCCCATTTTATAGCTGATGAAATTGAGGCCCAGAGAAGTTGAACAACTTTCCTGGGAGTTAGTGGCAAAGCTGGAACAAAACCCAGGTTCCAGAGTCTCTCTGCAGGGCTCATTGTACTGCGTCATGCTATGCCAGGAGGTAGAACCCTGCTCTCCTCAAGCTGATGCTAGGATCCTGAATGAGCCACTCAGCACTGCTCACTCCTTCATTTGGCAACGCTCACCTCACGGTGCCAGAACTGGGATAAAGACAGCCAGGTCAACACCAGTCATGGTTCAAACTAATCAGAGTCCAGCCCAGCTTCTGGCTGAACAAGAGACCCAATCAATGCTCCCATGTGTCCCAAACAGAAATATCCTAGTTGGCATGAGCTTACTCTCCAAGGGAGCATGTTGAATTCTTATTGGCTCTGGTCCCAGACTCAGTGGTTTTGGGATTCAAGCACATAAATGAGCCCCTTTTCTAAGTTGGACTCCATTAATTTAATGATTTAGTGGTAAATTGCTCCTGTCTGCACCTTTGCATTCTGCATGACAGTTTTCTTAACAAGTTAATGAGGAAAATGACATGGGAAATGTTTATCCCACCTAGAAGGAGGCTGCATGCCTGTTGGTCTTTAGGGACATCTGGGTGCACAGGTCACATTCTATGAGGGAATTGTCTCGTCACTCATAGTGGAGTTAATTCCTGTGGCAGAGCTACAGCACCTTTCTGGCTAAAATGCAATCAGCAGAGATGCAGGAGTTTAGTGCAAGGCCAGTGGGGACTGCACAGAACCAAGCCCACGTGCCTTTTCTAAGATCTAAACTTTGCCTCAGTCTGGCCTGGAGGTGACCCAGCTTATTCAGTGTTAGTTTCTCAGTGAGTGAAGCCCCAGGGGCACTTAAGGAGAAGGACTCCAGTATCCAAGAGCCTTCCCTGTGACCGAGCTGTGTCCTGGCTTCCTTTCCGTTTCCAGAGGAATAAATGATGCTGTGCTGAGAACATTTTGTGCAGATAGGCCAGGATCACAATGTGAATTGCGCTTTATGAAACGAAAGGAGGGAAATAACTCAATTTCAAAGCTGATCCAAGAAAATAATGATATTCTAGGGAAAAACAGGCCAAAGTCAACCAAAGGATAGTGATGCCTTGCTCTGTTTAGAATTTTCCAAATGAGAGCCTTTTTCTCTTGGTCATTATCTACTTTTAAACACAGCTAAGTGTCACTAGCAGTGATTAGCAAGTGTTCTTATTTACACAAAACCTGCCATTTTCCCAGCACCCAACTGCTGTACTCTGGGTATGCAGCCTGCCTCAGCTTCCCTGAGCCAGAAATGTACTCATTATCACACTAATGATTTGTTAAATTGAGAGCATTTGTGGATTTAGAGGATGAATGCGAAGTGCCAACTCCCTTGTTAATATCGGATGAGTCTGAACAGCCTCAGAGAGAACCCCTCTGAGACCTCTAACGGTGACCGCACTCAGGAAAGGTGCAGGTGAGTGTGTCTTATTGCTCACAGAGAGTCAAGCTTGCCCCACGGGGGTCCCAGCTGTAGTGATCAGAGCCTAGGTTTCCAGCTCGTTTAGTCTGATAAGCACGGTCTCAGTGTGTGACCAAGGTGAGCACAAACCACAAGAAACTGTAAATAGCCAGCAAAAGGCAGGACAAAGCGAAGGGCAGGGGAGAGGGAGAAAGGGGGAAGCGTGAAGAAACGTCCTGATGTAGCCAGCAGGTGCTCACTCTTGAGTGCTCTCTCTTGGCAGGAACATTGAATAACAGAAGCCCAGGCTTCAGGCTCAGTGAAACACGGTTTCCAAATTCAGCCACGTTGTTGACCTTGGGCATGTTGCTTAGACCCCCAAGCCTGGCTTCTTACCTGTGAAGTGGAGGACACTGGTCTGCTATGGGGGTCTCATGAAACAATTTCTGTAAAGTTCCTGACGCAGAGTGTGTAATAAATTCAAACCAATATATTTTTTTTTAGCTTTTCGTTTTGTTTTGTTTTGTTGGAGAATAAGTCTTGTTGATGCTGCTCAGGCTGCAAAATCTCGGCTCACTGAAACCTCCGCCTCCCAGGTTCAAGTGGTTCTCTTGCATCAGCCTCCCAAGTAGCTGAGACTACAGGTGCCAGCCACCATGCCTGGCTAATTTTTGAACTTTTAGTGGAGACAGGGTTTCACCACGTTGGCCAAGTTGACCTCAAACTCCTGGCCTCAAGTGATCCACTCACCTCAGCCTCCCAAAGTGCTGGGATTATAGGTGTGAGCCACCCCACCCAGCCTCAAACTATTATATTGTTTTAAAGTTATCATTATTTCTTCTGCCGCAAAACTACCAAAGGCAGAATGTGTAGATTTGGGGTTCAAATCTTGGTTCTGCCACTTACTAGCTCCGTGGCCTTGGGCACGTTGCTTCACCTTTCATGATCTCCAGCACGCAGATGATAAGAATGCCTACATACCCCCCTCCCTTACAGGGTCATTGGGGGATTAAATGAACGAATACACTTAAGGTCCTGAGCACAGAGGCTGGCACACAGAACCACCATGTACATGTCAGCCATGACTGTTAATGGGCTGTCTACATCCTCAGCGCTAGGCTGCCTGGAAACACCATCCTGTGACTTCTGTTGTTGAAGCCTACACCAAATCTGCCTTCCCAGTGGAATGCATGCTTTCCCACCTTGGAATCCCTGATGCAGGTCACCTTGTCCTGGGAGCTAGCCATTGGGTAGTGGGCCACACATGCACAAGACTCAGAAAGGAAGCAGTGAGCTCAGCAGGGGTCAGATCATACAGGGCCGTGGAAGGAAGGCTGAATTTCATTCAGAGCAGCTCTCCCATGGCCCTAACCATGCCCTAACCATGCCTTTATTACGGCATTTATGTGAAATTTTATCTTCCCCTCCAGAAGGTAAGCTCCGGGGATTGTCCGATTGGTCTCTGTGGCTCCTTTCCCATGCCTCCCTGGCATAGAGAAGGGTTTTGGTCTACATGTGTGGAATGAAGTGAAAAATAACCCCCAAAGAGCATAGAAGAGGCCCCGGCTGCAACAGCTGTCACTCAGTAATTGCAAGGGTTCACTCACGTCCTGGGCAGGAGTCCCCACCGCCCCCCGTAGGTGCCCATGGGTTTTTCTTCTGAAGCTGGAAGCATGCTCAGAGAGGACCCCATCTTTCCATGGAACAGAACCTTTCATTGACTGGACTCCCACATATAATAGGTAGTTATGGCGAGGATTAGGGAAAATAGCACCACGCCTGCTTTGTTCTGATCGTAATGTCCATCTCCAGCTCCACTCGACGCCTTGGCTGGGTGGCTGGTTGGTTGATCAATTGCCTAGCTCCCCTCACTAGTCCATAAACTCCTAAGCATAGTGAATTTTGTCTGTTTTGTTCACTGCTGCACTCCTAGCCCCAATGACAGTGCCTGGCACATAGTAGGTGCTCAGGAAATATTTGTTGGTTGAAATGAGATGATGCATATAAAATACTTTGCAGAATGCCTGACACATTTTAGGCACACATTATCTTAATAACAATTGTTGGGCGGGCATGGTGGCTCACACCTGTAATCCCAGCACTTTGGGAGGCTGAGGTGGGCAGATCACGTGGTCAGGAGATCAAGACCAGTCTGACCAACATGGTGAAACTCCTTCTCTACTAAAATAACAAAAATTAGCTGGGCATCGTGGCATATGCCTGAAGTCCCAGCTACTCAGGAGGCTGAGGCAGGAGAATCGCTTGAATCCAGGAAGCAGAGATTGCAGTGAGCCAAGATCACACACTGCACTCCAGCCTGGGTGACAGAGTGAGACTCTGCCTCAATTAAAAAAAAAAAAGTTGTTGTTAAGATATAATAAGATGAATTATGAAATAGTACATAAAGCACATAGCATATAATAAAACTGTATATGATAAAGTACCAAAATTATGACAGAGCTTACATATGTAAGGAAATAAATGTCCAGCAATTAGTACAGGCAGTAACAATAAGTATATAGCATTCTAAAGTTTACAAAGTCTTCCATACACCTTATCTCATTTTATTTTCTAGCATTCTTACAAAGCAGATGACATGCCATCCACAATTTACAGCACATAAATGAGCCTTGGATGAGTTAAAACAACTTAGTCAAAGTCACACATAGTAAAAGGAAGAGCCAACTAAGAACCAAAATTTAAAACCTGTGTTCTGCCAGGCATGGTGGCTCTTGTCTATAATCCCAGTACTTTGGGAGGCCAAGGTACAAAGATCTCTTGAGCCCAGGAGTTCGAGACCAGCCTGGGCAATCAAGTGAGACCCTATTTCTACAACAAATCAAAAAATGAGCCGAGTGTGGTGGTGCATGCCTGTAGTCCCAGCTACTCAGGAGGCTGAGGTAGGAGGATCCCTTGAGGCCAGGAGGTAGAGGCTGCAGTGAGCCATGATTGTGCCACTACACTCCAGTCTAGACAGCAGAGCAAGACTTTGTCTCAAATAAATAAATAAATAAATATCCTATGTTCTTTCAGAGATATTACAAAGTTATGGGTCCAGAAAAGCAAGGCAGATGGTGGCTGCTGGCTTCACCTGTGGTGCTCCAACAGGCTTGGAATTTTCCATCATCAAAGCCACCTGTTTTAGGGACCCATCCCTTTCCTGCTCAGAGCTAGAGGTCTGCTTGCAGGAGCCTGAACTCTCACAGGCGGTCCCTGGCTGGTGAGCTTCTCTCTTCTCCAGGCTTTCTCCAGTGCAAGGAGCCCATTTTTCTCTCCGAGTCACACGCACTCTATTCTTTCATGCCTCAGGGCCTTTGCACATACTGGTTTTTGTTTGTTGTTTTTGTTGTTGTCATTTTGTGAGACAGGGTCTCACTCTGTCACCCAGGCTGGAGTACAGTGGCACAATCTTGGTTCACTGCAACCTCCACTTCCCAGGCTCAAGTGATCCTCCCACCTCATCCTCCCAAGTAGCTGGTACTACAGGCCCACACCACCACACCCAGCCAATTTTTTGTATTTTTAGCAGAGACGGGATTTCGCCATCTTGGCCAGGCTGGTCTCGAACTCCTGACCTCAGGTGGCCCACCAGCCCTGGCCTTCCAAACTGCTGGGATTACAGGTGTGAGCCACCGCACCTGGCTGCACATACTATTTATTTCCTTTGCCTACAACACAGAGAAACCCAGAGCTTCAGAATAGCGTCTCTGCCTCTTCATCACACTAAACCTATCTCCTCACCCTTAAAGTGGCCATTCTGACATTTAGGCTGCTCTGAGAATTACACGAATTAATGAATGTTGAGTGCCTGGTACAGAGCCTGGCCTAGAGTAGGCACTCACTAAAGAAAGGCAGATGGTAGCTTATGAACTCTACACTTCCTCCAAGGACCAGGACACATGCCTCCTCCTCTATAAAATTTTCCTTCTCAGTCCATTTGCTCCCTCATACTGTGTGTTCCTCCTGCATTTTTTTTTGAGAAGTTTCATTCGTGTTGCCCAGGCTGGAGTGCAATGGCGCAGTCTTGGCTCACTGAAACCTCCACCTCTGAGGTTCCAGCTATTCTCCTGCCTCAGTCTCCTGAGTAGCTTGAAACTATAGGTGTGTGCCACCACACCCAGCTAATTTTTGTATTTTGAGTAGAGATGGCGTTTCACCCTGTTAGCCAGGCTGGTCTCAACTCCAGACCTCAGGTGATCCACCCATCTCAGCCTCCCAAAGTGCTGGGATTACAGGTGGGAGCCACCACACCCAGCTGCATTTTGTTTAAAATGATAACTCAGCTGTTTTTTTACATCACCCATTGGCCTGAACAATCTCCTGAAGACGAGAGACAAATTCTCTTCTCCCTTGGTATTCCCAGGGTGTGGGTGACGGTAGGTGCTCACTAAACGTTTATGGACGGCACTAACGAGAAGCCCTGCCCATGGCCCTGCCCTGTGGCAGTGTGGAAAGCTACCACGTGGCCCTCTCAGATTTTAGGACACAGGAACAGCCTGTGTCTGTGAATCAGGAACAGCCTGATGGGGTAGGACTCCAATCAGAAACAACCGGGACTCAGGGCCTGAATATTAGCAATTGTCCTCAGGCCTTGGAAGAGACTAATTTGAGTTTGATTCTTTGCTTCCCTAGTGACATGCAAGATGATTTTATCTCTCCATGTGGAGCCTGCAGGCAAGTCATGAGAGAGGTAAGCAGCTTCTCTAGCTTTCTGAAATGCAAACCTCTTCCTCGCAGGCTATGGGAGCCACGCCAAGCTGCGGGCATGGCAGGCGTGGAGATGCAGCTACTGTCCTGTTTGCTGGGTTGGCTGACTTCTAAGGCCCCTCCCTACACTTGCATGAGTCACTAGAAATTATTCCTTCATTTAACAAATACTTGGCCGGGCGCGGTGGCTCATGCCTGTAATCCAAGCACTTTGGATTACAAAGTGGCCAAGGTGGGCAGATCACCTGAGGTCGGGAGTTCAAGACCAGCCTAATCAACATGGAGAAACCCCGTCTTAAAAAAAACACTTACTGAGCAAGTGTTGGCTCTGTGCCAGGCACTGAGGTAGCTCTGGGGAGGCAACAGAGAAAAGATGGGCCAAGCTGTGCCCCACAGAGCTCACAGACTAGTGCAGGAGACAGACGATAAACAAAGAACAAAATAAATAAAGGAACGGTGGTGTTTCTGAGAGTCGAGAGGGCTACAGAGGGGGAAAAAAACGCAGAAAAAAAAAGTCCAATGACAAAGGGGCAAGCAGGGGACACTGCAGATTGGGGTCAGCGAATGACAGCCTGTGGGCCAAATCCAGCCTGCTGCTTGTATTCATAGATAAAGTTTTATTGGTACGCAGCCATGGACATTCATTCACCTATTGTCTATAGCCACTTTGCCCTGACAACAGCAGAGGTGAGCCGTTATGACAAGGGCCGCATGGCCTCTAAACCTAAGATATTTACTGTCTGGTCCTTGACAGAAAAAGGTTTGCCAATCCCTGTTTAGATGTCCAGGAAGGTTGTCTTTTTGAGGATGACATTTGAGTAGAAATATAAATAATGAGGCCGGGCACAGTGGCTCAAGCCTGTAATCCCAGCACTTTGGGAGGCCGAGGCGGGTGGATCACGAGGTCAAGAGATCAAGACCATCCTGGTCAACATGGTGAAACCCTGTCTCTACTAAAAATACAAAAAATTAGCCAGGCATGGTGGCGCGTGCCTGTAATCCCAGCTACTCAGGAGGCTGAGGCAGGAGAATTGTGAACCCAGGAGGCGGAGGTTGCGGTGAGCCGAGATTGCGCCATTGCACTCCAGCCTGAGTAACAAGAGCGAAACTCCGTCTCAAAAAAAAAAAAAAAAAGAAAGAAAAAGAAATATAAATAATGAGAGAGACAAAAGCCTAGAAGAGGAGATTCCAAGGGAGCAGAACCAGCAGATTTCACGCTCAGACCCTTGGTGAATTTGAGAAGAGTCAAGAAGGCCCCCAAAGGTCTAGGGCCTGGTAAGTGGAAGGAAAGCAATGGGATTAAGTCAGAAAGGATGGCAGGGGCCAGATCACAAAGGGCCTTGTAGGCATGGGATGAAGGGCATATTTTATTCCAGGTATAAAGGAAACTGAAGTATACACAAACATGGTCAAAATGGCAGATTTTATGTTATATATAATTGATCACATTAAATACACTGGGGGGGAAAAAAGAGAATAGAGGTCAGCCATTGGGTATTTCTAGGAAGAGTCTTGAGGGATCTGAAGTACTTTTTATAAAAGTCTTCTTGTTGGAAAGCTGCAGTTTCTTCAATTCTGAAAGCAAGAGCGTAGGCCAGTCGTGGTGGCTCAGGCTGTAATCCCAGCAGTTCGGGAGGCAGAGGCAGGAGGATAACTTGAGACCAGGAGTTCGAGACCTGCCTGGGCAACATAGCAAGACCCTGTCCTCCACACACTGAAAAAGGATAGAACAAAACAAAAAAATGAAAACAAAGAGATAGTTTAACTCATGAGTTCTTAATCCAGGCTCAGGGGAAGGTTTTCATATTTATATGTACATTTGGGGAAAGGGGAATATCGGTAACTATGGTGGATTCTCAAAGAGATCTGTGTCCTCTAGAGCCTCAAAAGATGAGAGAATCCCACAGGCCCTGAGCTCCAGCATGATACCATCAGCCCCTCGAAATACAGCATCTTGTGGGCATGATGGCTCACACCTGTAATCCCCACACATTGGGAGACTGAGGTGGGAGGATCACTTTAGCCCAGGAATTCAAAACCAGCTTGGGCCACATAGTAAAACCCAGTCCCTTCAAACAATTTAAAAATTAGCAAGGCATGGTGGTACATGCCTGTGGTCCTAGCGGCTCCAGAGGCTGAGGTAAAAGGATCACTAGAGCCTGGGAGGTCAAGGCTTCAGTGAGCCGCACTCCTGCCTGGGCGGCAGAGCAAGATCCTTTCTCAAAAATAAATACATACCAATGACCAAGTGCAGTGGCTCACGCCTGTAATCCCAGCACTTTGGCCAAGGCAAGTGGATCACAAGGACAGGAGTTTGAGACCAGCCTGGCCAATATGGTGAAACCCCATCTCTACTAAAAATATAAAAATTAGCTGGGCATGGTAGCACACTCCTGTAGTCCCAGCTGCTTGGGAGGCTGAGGCAGGAGAATTGCTTGAACCCGGGAGGGGGAGGTTTCAGTGAGCCAAGATCGCACCACCACACTCCAGCCTGGGCAACAGAGCTAGACTCCTTCTCAAAAAATACATACATACATACAGCATGTTGTTTAATCCCCTCCCCAGGACTGAGGGAAGTGCATGCCATTATTCCCATTTCCCAGTGACTACTCCGAGGCTCAGAGGAGTAAAATGACTTACTAAGGGGCCCCGTGCCAGGCGATAACACATGGGTATTCCCGGCCCTTGAGGCTGACTCTAAGGCCTATGGCTCCTGACAGCTGCCTCTCTGTCTTTGTGGTTCTATAAGTGGGACAAAATTATTTTCAGCCATGGAGGAAACATAATGGTATTTTGCCATGTGGATGCTGCTTGTACCATGGGAATTTCTGCTTTTGGAGTTGTGTTTTGGGAGAGAGGAGGTTGTTTTAGCTTTGTTTTTGCGCCGTGGGGTTTCAAAGCATCTGGGAATACAGACATTTCCATCTTCCTCCTGCTTCCTGCCAGGAGTGTAAATCAGACACATTTCCCAAACCCAAAAACATACCGCCAGGAAAGCAGTGAATTTATACCATGGAATTTGTCTCACTTAAGACGGGCAGAAATAGCTGCCCTGCACGGTGGAAACGTTGAAAGTCATATAAGGAAGCCATAACAGGGCGCCACGTCCCTGGCTCCCCAGGCCCCGACATGATCCAATTGCTCAGTGCTGTTTTCTTCCAACAGATTGGATGTTGGCAAACAAGAGAAGGCAAATGAAAAAGCTGAAGGAGGCAGAGGCGAAACTGAAACCAAAATGCAAATAATAAGAGATGAGGTGTTGGGGCCGGGGACTCAGCACAGAAATTCGCCTCTGCTCAGCTCTCATCCGTACCCTCAGGCAGAGCCTGTCAAGCAGAAACATTTCCCTCCGTAAAACATTAATTCTAGGCCGGGTGCAGTGGCTCACACCTGTAATCCCAGCACTTTGGGAGGCCAAGGTGGAGGGATCACCTGAGTTTGAGACCAGCCTGACCAACAGGGAGAAACTCCTTCTCTAAAAATTAAAAGGTGGAAAAAAAAATTAATTCTAAAAACGCCAGAAGATTGAGTGTGCCCGGCATTAACTTGGTGATTGAGAGAGAAGTGTGGAAGAACAGGAGGATACAGACCTGAGCAGTCACTGGTTACCAACATAATCAGTAAGAATGGCATCTATTAACTGAGCGCCTACTATGTGCACAGAGATGCTTTACATGGACCGGGCATGGTGGCTCACACTTGTAATCCCAGCACTTTGGGAGTCTGAGGCAGGCAGATCACAAGGTCAGGAGTTAGAGACCAGCCTAGCCAATATGGTGAAACCCCATCTTTACTAAAACATACAAAAATTAGCCGGGCATAGTGGCACATGCCTGTAGTCTCAGCTACTGAGGAGGCTGAGGCAGAAGAATCGCTTGAACCTGGAAGGTGGAGGTTGCAGTGAGCTGAGATCACGCCACTGCACTTCAGCCTGGGTGACAGAGCAAGACTGTCTCAGAGAAAAAGAAAAAACAGATGCTTTACATGAATCATCTCTGCATCTCACAATACCTGGCCAGGAAGAGCTTGGGTCTGACAAGAACCTCCAGGGCTGTTGTCATGATGCCACTGATTTATCTGTCACCTACCATCCTGCATTCTCCCAACCCTAAAACCATTCCACGGACGGAGAGGCTGAGTGAGCCCCAGAAAGTTGTGATTTTCCCAAGGTCACACAGCAAACAAGCAGTGCTCCTCACAGTACAGGAGAAAGATCAAGAGACAAATTAGTCGTGGCTGACTTTATCCTGCTAAGCTTCAGTTTCCTCATCAGAAAAATGGGCATTATAATAGCACTTACCTCACAGTGTAGTTCATGAAACCATGCATGTGCAGTATCTATGTGATATGGCTTGGCTGTGTCCCCACCCAAATCTTATGTTGACTTCTAGCTCCCATAATTCCCATGGGAAGGACCTGGTGGGAGGTAATTGAATCATGGGGGCGGTTCTTTCCCATGCTGTTCTCGTGATTGTGAATAAGTCTCACAAAATCTGATGGTTTTATAAATGGGAGGTCCCTTGCGCAAGTCCTCTCTCGCCTATTGCCATGTAAGACATCCCTTTGCTCTTCCTTCATCTTCTGCCACGGTTGTGAGGCCTCCCCAGCCATATGGAACTGTGAGTACATTCAATCTCTTTTTCGTTTTCTTTCTTTCTTTCTTTTCTTTCTTTTCTTTCTTTTCTTTTCTCTTTCTTTCTTTCTTTCTTCTTTCTTTCTTCTTTTTCTTGTCTTCTTCTTCCTTTCTTTCTTTCTTCTCTCTCTCTCCTCCTCTCATCTCTCTCTCTCTCTCTCTCTCTCTCTCTCTCTCCTCTTTTTCTCTCTCTTTCTTCTTTCTTTCGGGACACAGAGTCTTGCTCTGTGGCCCAGTTTGGAGTGCAGTGATGTGATCTCGGCTCACTGCAACCTCTGCCTCCTGGGTTCCAGAGATTCTCCTGCCTCAACCTTCCGAGAAGCTGGGATTATAGGCACTTGCCACCACACCTGGCTAATTTTTATAATTTTAATAGAGATAGGCTTTTACCATGTTGGCCAGGCTGGACTCAAACTCCTGACCTCAGGAGATCTGCCTTCTTTGGCCTCCCAAAGTGCTGGAATTACAGGTGTGAGCCACCATGCCAAGCCTAAACCTCTTTTCCTTATAAATTACTTAGTCTTGCATATGTCTTTATTAGAAGCTTGAGAACAGACTAATGCACTGTGTGTACGTAGCAGGCATGCAACTTCTCCTGGTGTGAGGTGTGAAGGGGATACTGTACGGGAAGCGGGTGTTAGTTGTCATTTGTCATAGCAGAAGGCGGTCTGACTCCAGGGCTGGCTGGTGCTCTTATAAAGTCCTGGGTGAGTCTTTCATGGTGCCTGTTCACAGTGTGCCATGCATGGATCAGCTTCACTGCATTCTTTCATTTCCTCGTCTCTACAGTTCTATGATCCAGGTACAATTATGGTCATTCCCATTTTACAGATGAGAAAATCAAGGCAATGAGAGGAACATTAGACAGTGAGTGGTAGAGTCAGACTCAGACCCTGCAGCCACACTGCCTCTCTCATGCCGGCTTTGCCTCTTTTCCAGTTTGGCACTAACTGGGCCGTGTACATGACCAAGCCGGATGGTACGTATATTGTCATGACAGTCCAGGAGCTGCTGCCTTCCTCCTTTGGGCCTGAGGACCTGCAGAAAACCCAGTGACAGCCAGAGAACACCCACCACCTCTGACAGCCACCTGGAGAATGTCATAAAGATGTCTCACAGCCCTGGGGACACCTGCCCAGTGGGCCCCAGCCTCACAGGGGCTGGGCAAAGATGATGTTTCCAAATTACACTCCAGGCCAGGCCAGCACCCCTCCTAGCAACCTGCCTTGGGACTTAGAACACCCCCTGCCTTTCCCTTTCTTCCCATGGGCCCTTTTTCAAAGTCCGGCCTAGTGTGGACTGGTCCCCGTCAGCCTTCCCAAGGTTCTGTCCAGTTCCAAGCAATTTTTAAAATCACGAACATCACAGAACATCCAGAATCCCAGAGTGTGTCTTGTTCCATCTCTATGCTTGCTTGCAGCTCTGAGGAGGGACAGCGTGATTTACAGGAAGACCTGCACTCTTTCTGCTGGGAGAGGAAATGGGTTCCTTGGAACCATGGACCTTGTGGTGCGGAGAGCTGAGGTTTTAGGCGACTTGGCGACTTGCCCCATCCCTCCCCCATTCTCTAAATGGGCAGCTCCCCTGGGCTGGACCTAACTGCCAATAACCATCCTAGAGTGTGTTTTTGTCTCCTTATAGACCTGAGCATTGGATGGTGTGACTGAGAGATTCCAGAGTACAAAGGGTCAGGCACAGGTTTGTCTAGACAGTGTAACAAAGGTTTCTCTCGTAGCTACTGTACGTCAGATACTTTTGTGTGCCTTATTTTAAGTTTAAAGTGCTCCACAGTTCTGTGAGGTGGGTGTGGAGATGCCCCCTTCTCACAGATGAGAGCACTGGGCTTTGGAGAAGTTGAATACCCTGCTCCAGGGTGATGGCAAAGCCCAGAATCGAATCCAGGGCCCTTGACCCCTCTGTGGTCCGGGAACACTGCCTGCTTTTTGCCATGCACTACACTGAGGTGGGTGACCTGTGTGGGCCTGTTCAGTCCTCATTTATCAAACTCAAAGGTTAATTATTAGTGTTCTCAATTTAGCAATAAGCAACTCAAAGCTCATAGTGATTGAGTTGCTCACCCAAAGTCACATAGCTAATGTGGCAGAACTGGAATCAGAGTTAGGTACATCTGGGCCGGGCATGGGCGCCTCATGCCTGTAATCCCAGCACTTTGGGAGGCCAAGGAGAGCAGATCACCTGAGGTCAGGGGCTCGAGACCAGCCTGACCAATATGGTAAAACCCCATCTCTTGGGAGGCCGAGGCGGGTGGATCACAAGGTCAAGAGATCGAGACCATCCTGGTCAACATGGTGAAACCCCGTCTCTACTAAAAAATATACAAAAAATCAGCTGGGCATGGTGGCGCGTGCCTGTAATCCCAGCTACTCAGGAGACTGAGGCAGGAGAATTGCCTGAACCCAGGAGGCGGAGGTTGCGGTGAGCCGAGATCAAGCCATTGCACTCCAGCCTGGGTAACAGGAGCGAAACTCCATCTCAAAAAAAAAAAAAATCTCTACTAAAAAATACAAAAACTAGCTGGGCATGGTGGCAGGCACCCATAATCCCAGCCATTCAGGAGGCTGAGGCAAGAGAATCATCTGAACCCGGGAGGCGGAGGTTGCAGTGAGCTGAGATCGTGCCATTGGCCTCCAGCCTGGGTGACAGAGGGAGACTCTGTCTCAATAAAACAAAAACAAACAAACAAAAAAAAACTAGGTCTGATTCCAAGCATTCTTTTCCCCATTCCCCCATAGCTGACATCTCAATTTACTGATTATCTTTTATACGTCAAATATGCTAAATACTACAGAAAAAGACAGCCTCTGCCCTTGAGGAACTCCCCGCCTGACAGAAAGAGAGAGGTGTAAACAGGTCTAATGCACAGAAGCGCACCCTGTGATCCAGGAGAACCAAGTGTAAGGTGTCGGGAGCTTGCTGCTGTCTGGAGTGTGAGGACAGGGAGGGACTGTTTCTTTCATTGGTGCACTGGTTCTCTCTCTCTCTCTCTCTCTCTCTCTCTCTCTCTCACACACACACACACACACACACACACACACACACACACACACAATTAGGAAGGTCAGGACTGAATAAGGAAGGAGCCAGAGTGGGTCCTCGGGAGGGGAGGACAGCTCCAGGAGTCCTCCCAGGAGGAGTTGACCTTGGGGCTGGCTCATTGGGTGGGATAAGAATACAGCTTAGGTTTCCTTTTCCCAGGGCAAGCGAGTACTTGGGGGCACCCAGGTGGACATCGCCCCTTCCCTGGAATTCCTTTCCACCCTGATCCAGCATTGCCACCTGATGAGACTGGCTTTGCCACAGCACACTCAGGCTCACCTGCTGTCATCTCAGGAGCACCCCAGCCATTCCAGCTCGGCTATATGATGCACAGCTCCACACTGCCTGCCTTTCTTTCTTTCTTTCTGTCTTTCGTTTTTTTTTTTTTTTTGAGATGGAGTCTCACTCTGTCACCCAGGCTGAAGTGCAGTGGCACAATCTCTGCATATTGCAACCTTTGCCAC